CTTATCCATTCTGCTAATCTGTGTCTTTTTATAGGAGAGTTAAGACCATTAATGTTGATGGATATTCACGACCATTGATTGTTCATTCTTGTTTGTTTTTGATTTGGTGATGGTGGCAAGATTATGTGTGGGATTCTATCCTTTTTCCTTTTGGCTGTTGATAAAGTGGTGTTATCTATTCCCTATATTTTTCTGGTTGTAGTTAAATTTCTTGCGTTGCAGTTTTCCTTCTAGAATTTTCTGTAGGGCAGGATTGGTGGATATGTATTGTTTGAATCTGTTTTTTTCAAGGAATATCTTGTTTTCTCCATCTATATTGATTGAAAGCTTTGCTGGGGATAGTAGTCTGGGCTGGCATCCATTGTCTCTTATTGTAGGTACAATATCTATCCAGGACCTTCTGGCTTTCAGAGTTTCCATGGAAAAGTCAGGTGTGATTCTGATAGGTTTGCCTTTATAGGTTACTTGACCTTTTTTCTTTGCTGCTCTTAATATTTTCACTTTGTTCTGTATGTCTGCTGTTTTGATTATTATGTGGTGAGGAGACCGTTTTTGGTTCAGTTTATTTGGTGTTCTGTAGACTTCTTGTATTTTCATTGGCATGTCTTTCTTTAGGTTGGGAAAGTTTTCTTCTAAGATTTTGTTGAATATGTTTTCTGCACCTTTGAGTTGGATTTCTTCACCTTCTTCTATACCTATTATTCTTAGGTGTGGTCTTTTCATGGTATCCCATATTTCCTGGATATTTTGTGTTAGGGATTTGTTGGACTTAAGATTTTCTTTGGTTGATGAATCTATTTCCACTAGTGTGTCTTCAACTTCTGAGATTCTCTCTTCCATCTCTTATATTCTGTTGGTTATCATTACATCTGTAGTTCCTGATCATTTACCCAGCTTTTCTGTTTCCAGCATTCCCTCAGATTGTGCTTTCTTTATTGTCTCTATTTCAGTTTTTAGGTCTTGAACTGTTTCCTCGAGTGATTTGTTGATATCTTGTAATTTTTGGTTTGTTTTTTCTTCCATTTCTTTAAGGGATTTTCTCATGTCCTCTTTGAGGTCCTCTTTGAGATCCTCTATCATTTTCCTGAAGATATTTTTAAGGTCATTCTCTTCTGTTTCATCTGCATTGTGATGTTCAGGTCTTGCTGGTGTATGGTTCCTAGTCTCCGGTGGTGTCATTTTGGGTTTTCTGTTGTTGAATGTGCTTTTACCTTGTCCTCTTCTCATCCTTCTTCTGGTGGGTGTAGCAGGAGTCTCTTGCTCTCCTGGTGGGTATGGGACCAAGGTTCCCTTCTGGTAGATGCAAACAGATCCAATATTCTGATATCTGTATTCTTCTGGTGGATAGAGTTGGCACTGTTACCAGGGCCTCAGCAGTGTTTGTTTGTGTTGGGTCCCCCTGGGCCAGCAGATGGAGTCAGAGCTGCCACCAGGGCCTTGGGAGTATCCTGGGTGTTTGGGATTCTGCTGCCAAGTTCCAATCTGGGCTTGTGGATGGAGGCAGAACTGCCACTGAGGCCTTGCTGAGTCGGATCCCGCCACCGAATTCAGATCCGGGGCGCTGATCACTGGCCTCAGATGACTCTCAGCAGTGACACCTGTGACAAACTATTATTAAAAAGCAAATTTAATTTACAATTACTTTATACTACCTTATATGATATTTACTGGAAAGTATATCCATAGCACAAGATCATTACCAAAAAAATGAGTAAAGATTTGTTTATAATAAATTACGTATGTAAAATAAGCAGCAATTACCCACCTTTCCATTTTGATATCTCGCCCCTCTTTTCTTTGTTCTGCTTCTGTACTGAGAAATTTGAAGCTCTATATAGGAAAATAATAAAAACCCAGATACAGATATGGGGTTCAAGCTGAAGATCAGAGAAGCAAAGCAGCCAACCACTAGCTCTTACTTCTATCAGGTCTGGGAAATTCTATCCTCAACGTGGCTGGAGATTAATTCCCTTCTTGTCCACAATGTAGATGGAGACTAATTTCTTTTCTGAGTCTGGTAAACAAGGACAACTATAAGCGTTACTATCTGGTCTTCAACTCCCACAGAGACTCAAGAAGGAAATAATATTAACTGAGTAAGCAGGAAGTGTGAGCAAGCAACTTCCAAAAATTGTGAGAAATGACAAAAACAGCTGGCTGCCTGGACAGTCACCCAAGGTTCTTGTGCAATGTTGAGGCATCTATCTTCGGCCTATAGGCCCAGCATATCTGACAGATTTTTCTATGGAGCAGAATTTTTGAAGGACTGTTCAAAAATGTCTAAGCAAGGGTTTGCAGTCACTTTTTCATGTTCTGCTTGTAAAATTTGGACAGCATAATATCAGCAATCAAGGCAAGGTTACTTTCTCGCCCAGTGGCTTACTTTTGCCACAAAGAAAGTAAACTCCATGTGGAGTGTTCTCAATGCCAGTCATCTTCTCTTAAATAGATTAGTGCTGCCAGGAGCAAGCATGTCTCATTACCATTAAAAAAAAGAATCTATGTCATTAAAACATCTTAAAATGCATTATTTTGTGGATCTCTGAAGTGTTTGAAGATGACCTGTCTGTTTAAAATATATCTGCTTGACCTTGTTTTTTAACATTTTTTATTTTAAAACACTCTTTTCTCATTTTATATACCAATCCCAGATCTTATTGACTAGCTCTCTCTTAATTATTAAACCATTTCTATTAATCTGCATATCTTCACATTGTCTTCAGTTACTGGTGATGCCCAGACCTCTGGCTTCCTTGGCAGCTACATGGCAATTCTCTCATGACTCTCTCACCATGTTCCTCTTCCCAGAATTATCCTAGTCTGGTAGAACTGCCTGTACTTCCTGCCTGGCTACATTCTGTCTGCCCATTGGCCAAAACAACTATATTCATCAACCAATAAAAGAAATATATATTCACAGCATATAGAAGAGTATTACCCATGTTATCCTCTTTTCTGTCTAAATAAAAAGGAGGGTTTTAACTTTAACATAGTAAAATTATATATAACAAATAGTTATCAAGCAGGAACTACAGTTAACAATATTTAGTCCACTAACATTTGGAAAAATTAAAGAAAATATTTTGTCATCTATCCGATTCTTGTGAGTCTAAAGTTTTATATGCAACTTACCTTTTATCATAAGTAAGGTAAACCATAACCATAACTATCTGTCTTCAAGTCCGTCAAAGACCCCAGAAGGATAATATGTAAACTTTAGAATTGACAGAGATATCTTGCTGCCTGGACAGTTACCCAAAGCTCCTCTGTAACCTTGGGACATTCAACTTTAGCCTATAGGCCATAGTATCTGGCAGACTATTTAATGAAGTAGATCTGGAAATTTGAAGATCTGTTTTGTCTTGTATTGACAAAGTTCATCAGCTGCTCTTTCTGTAAAGCAGGAACCCTGAAGGATGATCCTGTCTCTTGGAAAGTTCAGCAGTTACTTTAGTTTGCAACCTTCTTGTCCAGTTTGGACAGCATGTTGTCAAGCAGTCCCAGAAAAATCAGTTTCTTGTCCAAATGGGTATTCCCACCATGCTGAAGACACACTCCACAACAAGTTTCTTCAATGCCTACCTTCCTCTCTGATGTAATTTGTGTTGGCAGTAGCAGTTGTATTTTATTGTCAGGCAAAACCCCAATAAACCATTTTAAATGCCATATTCTGTAGGTCTTTGAAAGGTTTTGAAGAATGCCTATCAATTTGAAATATATCTCTTTATATGTAGAAATCCTAGCTAACATAAGTTTTGTTATTATAGATGACTATTATGAGACTACCTATAGTCTGTATTTAATTATACATTACAATTTTAAAAGAGCTATATAAAAACAATACCTAAACAAAGGTAGAAATATACATATAACAAAACTGACCTTAAATATGTATAATAAACGAAAATCTATACCAATGCAAAGTATTCATTTCTATGTCATATTCCCTTTTTTGTTTAGATTTAAAATCAACTCTGTTTAAATGAAAACAAACATTTATAAACATTATTTGGGAATTTGGGTGTAGTTCAAAACAATTGCACATTAAAAACCTGAATAGGTATCAATGGTATGGTACACATACCTTAATTTTCCAAATTCTACAAAACAGAACACATCCATCTTCCAGATTTCATTCCTCTGAGTATCCTTTGTGTTACTTCCCACAGGTAGTGGAGCTTGGTTGTATAAAGAACAAGTAGGACATTTCTTTATCATTTCCTTGATTTGTTGCCAAGTGATAGCAAAGTCTTTTTGTTCAAACTTTTGCTATTGAAATGTTGTTTCTTCTTTATGAAATTCTGAGGCCTCTGGCACATTTCCTATCAATAGTTGATCAATTTCATATTGCCTTGTGCTAGAGCACCTGGAGTTCCTGCTTATGTCCTGTAACAATAAATAATAAAGTCAATTCTTTATCATCTGCTATAAATTCAGTGGTCTCAATATACAAAACAATTCTTTCTGCATATTGTGCATTAGTAACTTTGTTGAGAGGTTCCATATGATCCATTTACACCATGGGAATAGCATATTATTCTGACCTTTAGACAGAAATATATGGACTTATATTCACTTTCCTTAAATTTTCTGATTTTTAATGTGCCTTTTCTGATGTATTTGCATCAGTACAGATTGTAGGGGCTCTAGTTATTGGTGTTTCCCATACAATATGAGGAAGGATCCAGTTAGTTCTCTTTATGAGATGAATTGCCTTGCTTTTGGGATATTTCATGCCGTCTCTCACAAAAAAAATTACTGTATGCTCTTTGCCAGGATTTACTTTCTTCCCATAATTTGTCAATATTATCATTAGTAAAAAGTACTATAATTTCTGCTGGATCTATTCTTGCTAATTGACAAAGTCTCAATTTTCCTTTTAGAATCAACTCAGAAAGTTTTTTGGCCTATGCCAGTTGATTCAAAGCCAAATGTCTATTGTTTTATTTTGTTTTGTTTTTTGTGAACCTATGTCTCACATTTGGTGCCAATGTGTAACAGGAATAATAAAAACCCAGAGACAGATATTGGGGCTCAAGTTGAAGATCAGAGAAGCAAACTTGACAAACCACCGAGAGATCTTACTTACCTCTACAAATCCTGGGCAATCCTATCCTCAAAGTGAATGAAGACTGATTACCTTCCTTTCCTTAATGTGGTTGAAGACTAATTGCCAGAATCTGAGACCCTGCTCCTATCTTATGTATCTCTCTAGTGCTGGGATTAAAGGCATGAGCTCTGTTTTTATTTTACACTGATTCACTCTCATGTAGTCCTGGGTGGCTTTGAACTCACAGAGATCCATCTGCCTTTTTCTCCTTAGTCCTGTATTAAAGCTGTGCACCACCATTGTCTGGCCTCTATGGCTAACTAGTGTGGCTGGCTTGCATTCTGATCTCCAGGCAAGCTTTATTAGATCATAAGCAGTATATCACCACAGCTCCTACTCAACAAATGTGCTTAACCTTTCTCTTCCAAGTTATGTCATATGTTAACTATACATTTTCTATATTTTCATCTCACTCTTATATGTAATATATCTTAATTATTTCACACTTTTAGAAGCTTTTTGTTTACTTCATACTCCTAGAACTTTTTGCAAACAATCAGAAAATTATTGAATTACTGTAGCAAGTGCAGATACAATAGCAAAGTGATTAGCAAACAATCTCAGACATTAGTAGTTCACTAAATATTAGTAATAATAGTAGTGATAAAGTCAGACCCTCATTTTCATGGGTTAATGCTTATGATATAATTCTGTCCTATCACAATTATTCCTGTATTCCATTGGGAAATGATTTGTCACAGTCAGATATTTCTTACATAAACCGAACAATGGGAAGCATCACACTAATGGGATTGGAGACACTCTTATTCAGACAAATAAAAACATTCACAGTCCAGTTAGATAAGTAAATAATAGTATGCTCCTAAGTAAACTCCTTTTCTTTGTTTTAAAATCTGTGTTGGTCATAGCTGTGGCTGGTTTGCTTTGTTTTTAGGAGTCTCTCTAATTTTGGCAACGTGGCATGAGAAAGACACTTCTAGTGTTTAGTAATATAGGGAAGCTCCACATCAGCACATTTATCTCAAGCATGAAAATCAAGTTAGTTCTCTAATGATACCAGATGGTCTACTATCCTGGTGCATTAGCTCATGGTCTGAGGAGAATTGTAACACGTGGCAGGCTCAGAACAGAGATGATTTCCAAATCCTTTGCAGAGTTCTGAAAGATGGCAATAATAATTTGACAAAGAAAAATGATACACATGGTCTTGGCAGCAGCTTCTCAAGCTCAAACTAGTTCCACCCTTCCCTTCAACTTAATTCCAACATTATTTCACAAAGATTGTTGCAATTTTGAAAAGGATAGACAAAGAAAAGATCTACATGACTATAAACACAAAGACCTATCAGATTATAACTGCTTGGCAGTGCCCTGTTCCTTGTCCATGCCCAGTCCACACAGATTAATAATTGAAAATATTTGTCTTGAAATCCTTGAATGCTAACAGTAGATAAGAAATTGTTTAAACTTAAAGGAAATAAGATAGAATCTAAGAAGAATTAGTTCTGGAGTTGTTTGGAAACCCTAGAAGATTTCAAGTATCAAGGTTCTCAAAGTTTTGAGGAGTTTACAAAACTTTAGAACATTCAATTAAGATACAGTGAATAACTAGTGGGATGAATTATTCGAGCCAGAACTGCTTGCACACACAGTGAGTGCTCTCCTTGCTTGCAGAAACTAAATTCACTGAACCAATAATCTGCATATTTTCACAAAGGTTGTCTTATCTGACTGCAGAAGAAAACAAGACATCTGTTACTTGACAGATATTTTGGTGGTATCTGCTCTGGACTGGAAAGTATTTGTTTTACTATGAGAAAGTAACATAAGCATAACGATTCAAATGTTTTCTGCTGTGTTTTAGCTCTCTTCTTATTTCCAACTACCATTGCAAAGATAAGATAATGTGGGAACCAGAGGCAATTGAAGCTTGTGTCCTCATACAGAAAGAATAACACATAAGTCTGTAATCCTCACAACTATTTCATTCTTACCATCCATTTAGATTTGATGAACTCTTTGTAGCTCTGGCTCTATTTATCAATAGATTTTGTACTGGCAAATCATTTCATGTATCAAAATATTTTATAAAAAATTTATCTATACTAGACACGCATGGATTTTTGCTCATTTAACTCTTGAACAACATGGAACACAATCTATTTATGATATAGCTTTTGTCATTCATTAGGCACTTTGGCAATCCAAAATTATGAAAGATATTCAGGATGAGAAGTGGTTGATCGATGTGTTCCAAATTACAGTGAGGTTCTGATGCATTCTTGGATAATTGGCTACATAAGGGTTTGGTGGATGTTTCAGTGATAAAGTGCTTGATGTGTGAGGATCTGGATTCATCTCTAGCACTTACATAAATGTCAAGCATGGCAACATGTGCCTCTCACTATGGTTCTGGAGGTAGGGAGATGTAGATGAATAGATATCCGGAGCTCATTGGCCAGCTGGAATGAGAAGTTCCATGTAGTAAGAGATCCTACGTCAAACTATGATGGGATGGAGAATCCGCTGATGAAAGTATCCTGACTTCAACCTATGGCCTAACCACATGTCCACATGGGCAAGTGTGTGTGTGTGTGTGTGTGTGTGTGTGTGTGTGTGTGTGTGTGATGTGTGAGTGTGCACACACACAGACACTCACATGCCACATACACACATGACAAATGGCAACTTTGGACTATATAAAAGATCAATGAAAAGATAATTTCTAAATAAAAATGGCTTCTTTCTTTGTTTAACTCTATTTTCTTTGCATCTTAACTGAATGTGCAAAAGTGTTTGCCAATGAAGTATGAGTAACAGTTGGCCTTAAAAAATGTGCTGTGACTCTTGTCTTCTCTTGGGATTGTTTTTCTCCCATTGTGTTTCTGTGTCAGCTTTGATATGAAAGCTTTTGCTTCATCTTATTATATTTTAGTTTGTCATGTTTGGTGGTTATCTCTTAGAAGCCTGTTCTATTCTAATAAGAGACAGAAAGGGAATAGATCTGGAGGGAAAGGGAGGTTGGGAGAAAAGAAATATAATCAGGTTATATTGTATGAGAAAAGAATCTATCTTCAATCTTTTAAAGTGCTCTATGAAAAGAATGTAGGAATTCAGATATTAGAAAGAAGCTGGTGATTTGGAAGAACTATAGGTTCCTCAGGATGGTAAGAGTGAAGAGAGGAGTGAAGGAAGGTGAGATGGGAAATTGAGTTGAGAAAGAATTAGTTAATCCTTCATGTCAGGAAGGCTTTTATCCTGAGGATGATAAAATGCCATAGAAGCTCACAGGCTTGCAAGTGAAATGATCAAATTTGAATTTCAGAATGGTTTCTTAAGATACGGTAGAGAGAGTAAGTGTAAAAGGGAGAAATATTAGTATTAAGGCAAGAAATTCAAAGGATGGTCTGCAGATATAGGCAAGAGCTGGGATGCACTGACTATCTCAGGGGTGGAAATGTGGGCAGACTTGGAAGAATGACTACTACTCTGCTAGTATAGTTGCTTGTGAGTCCTCCAAGATGGAGGGGATTAGGATGTGCAAAGCCAGGGATAGCAAACTGCCTGCTGATACCAGTGTGACTTGGAAATTAAAATATCAGAGATGATGCAAAGGAGGAGGAGGAATATGAAAGAGAGGAAGGGAGGGAGGGAGAAGGGAAAAGAGAAGTAAAAATCTTCTTTGTCTCAAATAAATGATACTCATTCACTAGTATCCCTTTTATCTGTAGTTGTACCATCTGTGATTTTAATCACTCTTATTTACCATTTAAAAGTATAAAATTGGAAGTATGGTAAAATAGCATACGCTTCTTCTGTCATAGCAGGATGGTGAACCTTCCCTTCAGCTACTATTTCCAAGCTGTATTTGATTCTCTCCCATATAGGCACTTAGAACTCACCTGTTATCAAATCTTCATGCAAGTGCTCAACAGTAACCTTTATTTTAATTGCCAGTGCCACCATAGCACAAATGTATTGATACTGTCAATCTGAATACATCAAAGAGAAGATGAAATTGTCCCCTCTTTGGTAATTATGATGAAGAAAGAAAAATATTCAGAGTTAGAAAAAAATCTATACTAAGAATGAATCTTCTACTTATGAAGGTAAGAAGGAAAACTAAATTCACCTACTTTAGTAGCTTCATCTCAACCTGCAAACGTTACAGCCATATTTCCTAACTGATTATGGCTTAGTTCAGATGGAAAAGCATGAAATATATGAATGGAAGACATAAATAGGAAATATGTTTAAGTTGATATTAATGGTATGAAAGAAACCCTGGAGCCAGCCAGAACACTTCAACAAGAGATTTCCTAAAATAAGTGACACTGAGCCAGGTACATCAAAAAGGGTTAATTTAAACAAAGATAGTAATGGGTTTAGACTAAAAGATACAAAAATTACTGGGAACCTTCATTTCCCATTGAAGACATAAAGAACTTGATGATAAGGAATCTTTCAAAAAAAAAAAAAAACCTTCAATTACTTAGAAATGGGGCTCTTGAAGAAGATGCCTGGTAGGACCTAACTTCACAAAACTCAAATGGAAACATTGAAGTTTAAGACATGTAGAAACATGCAGGTGGGGGTGGGTAGAAAGAAGGTGGAGAGAGAAAATGGGAAGAGAGAAGGGAGGGGAAACTGTGGTTGGTATGTAAATTTTAAAAATTAATTTAAAAGACATGGAGAAACAGTAAGTGCTATTATCACATGACAACCCCACAATGCTTATGATGAAGTTAGGCACAGTGCAAAGGGCAAGGAGAACATGCAAAAACTAAAACAGAAGTTACATTCTAAGACCACATTCACATAGCTCTTATTCCAATGTTTTTTTTTTTTTAATTTTCTAGTTTATTAGTAGCGGCTGTTAATCACACATACTAAATACTGATCTATACATATAAAAAAAAGATGAACATTCTGGGTTCCATATTAGTCAAAATTTCAACTATCCTTTAAGGTCCTTGATTGCATCTGCCATAAATCACTGCCAAAATATATTTAGAGAGAATCCTTTGAAAAATGAATTACAAAATTACTTCCCTCTTTAGTATTTTATCTTTACTTATACATTATAGATGGAACCTTAGCATGAAGCTGTTAAGATACAAGAGATTTTGTAATTTTTCTCCAATTCTGAAAATGTTGGAGATGCTAGATTATGAACTGAAGATAAAATACATTGCCTTTTCCTGTGCTTCTATTTGTCGCCTTTTTACTTCATCCCATAGAAAGCTGCAGGATGCCTAACCCGAATGCAATTCTGTTTTTTGGGGGGTGGGGTTGTTGTTGTTGTTGTTGTTTTAATCAAAAACAGGAGGGGGAAATGTCTCATGCAGTCTCTGGTTCTCAGTTGTTGAACAACTGCATGTCCATGGTAGCTATGGATGGTTGAAGAACTTATAAATGACACTATGTTCAATTGTTTCAAATAGCATAGAGGACAAAGAAGTTAGCAAGACTGTTACAGAGGCAAAAAGGGTTGTGTTGTATTTATAACCATACGAACCACTTTGACAATGATAGAATATATAGAAAAATGTCATCTTACACATTTCCCCTAGAAGACTCATTTTGATCATTGTGGACAGAGCTGTCCCTTTACACATGTCCATACCTTCTTTACACCATAGCATGTATGCTCTCATTTGAAACTATTTGATAACCCTCCAAATCATTCTGTGGATTTGCTATGGGGTACATGTCAGTTTAATTACTAGCACCTGTTCTGGAATGATGCATAGCATTCAAGAAGATCTCAGCAATTACATTCAAGATGTGAACAAAGGCAGAAGCCAATCAGTGCCTGTAGTTCCCTATAAGCAAAAGTGAAAAGCTACCAACTGTTTTCTTTCCACATCAACTAATGTGTTACCATATTTCTCCTTGCTTTGTTCTTGTGTTCTTTGTTCATCGATTTCTCTTACAAATACATTATTATATATGCAACTTTACTATGTTATTGGTTTATCATCACCTACAATTTTGATATAGAACTCTGTAATATTTCTTTTTTTATTTTTTATTTTTTTTAAGACAGGGTTTCTCTGTGAATCTTTGAAGCCTGTCCTGGAACTCACTCTGTAAACCAGGCTGGCCTCGAACTCACAGAGTTCTGCCTGCCTCTGCCTCTTGAGTGCCTGGATTAAAGGCATGTGCCACCACCTCCTGGTGATGTTTCTTATTCAGTATTCTACAGGAATGTTAGTAAAACTCCCATCTATATCACATCATCATGAAAGTCTTCTTTCACCTTAAAAGGACAGTACAAAGGCTGTCAGAATGTGCCACCATGAACTCTGAAGTTTCAGAAACTGAGCTGACAGGCTCTACTTATTCCCCCAGATGTGAAAATATCTAACTACATGGGAGTAATTATTACTCATGTTCTGTATAATTTTTAATTCATTCACTCTCCTCTACACAAATGAGGGCTATAATATTTTCAAGATTTTCTAAATTACTTAGGTAAAAAGCAATATTCATTAGTTGAAGAGAGGGAGGAATGAAGAACGAAGGGGTCTGTACCAGGTTGGAGAAACCCACAGGAACAATTGACCTGAACAAGGGAGAGCACATCGACCCCAGATGCTGTCAGGGAGGCCAGTACAAGACTGATCCAGACCCCTGAACATGGATGTCAATAAGGAGGCCTCTGCACTCCAGGGAGCCTCTGGTGGTGGATTAGTATTTTTCCCTGGTGCAAGAAGGGACTTTGAGAGCCCATCCCATGTGAAGGGTTACACTCTGGCCCCTAGAACTAATAAAATAAAATAAAATAAAAAGTAATATTCAGGTAACATTTCAGTTCCTTGGTACAGTTTTAAGTGTTTGTCCTGGCTAAAAATAATATTGAAGCACAATTTTCAACACTGTGATTTTTAGATACGCAGGGGATATTAAGGGTTGTCATGTTCTAGGAGGGACCCACCTACACAAATGAGCTCAGAATTGGGCTAGTTGCCTCTGTCTAGCCTCCTCCTCCATTCTGTAGGTGCCCACTTCATCTTCTGCTTTCTGGCTATGTGTGGAACAACACCTGGCCTTCATCAGGAGCTAAACAGAGACAAAAAGCATCCAAAACAACGAGAAAAAATAAACCTCATTTCTTTACACACTTCTTGTTCCCAAGTGTCTGCTAAAGCAACAAAAGACAGGTTCCTGTTGGGCAGCATGAGATTCAGCTGCTGTGACTGACCAGTGAGACAGTGGGCCCGATGCTTCTTTGATAACATCCATCTTTTGATATGAATGTATTAGCATAAGAAAGATTATAGTGGAGTAAGAAGAAACATGTTGCCCTTCTCTCTAAGCTTATTCTACTAAGCCATTCAAATGGGGCTGGGGTGGGGGACTTACCATGAATGAGAATTGGTATGTTTATTGCTTCATTCTGAGGTATCCTATTAAATTAACCCTATCAAATAATCAAATTTATCTAATAGGTAACAAAATGAGCTCAGCAGAATAAAAGGAGTAACAATAAAGAAAATAGTCTGGATATACACAATCTACTTTTTGTGGTTAAAAACATACATATAACACTAGATTTACTCTCTTAAGCTTTACAGGTGTACAATATAGCATTATTAATTTTAAGCACACACTACATGTTGAATAGCATAATTAAACAGCTGATTAAAAACTGTTTGAACAATAAGTTAGATACCAATACTTACCTAAGAGGTACTTACATAAACCATTGGACATCAACTTGGAGACAATATAAGAAAGTGAAAAATGATCTTGAAACCCAATTTATAGAGGCAGAGCATATGGTATATATTTAAAATGTGTAATGTAAAAAAATAAATAAAGGAAATTTGGAATTTGATAAACTGTTTTTATTTATTTAACTGTCAATAACTCCTAATTTCATTTTTTTCAAGTGTTGTAATTGATTTGGGACACTGAGTAAATAGTTGCATGCAAACAAAAAGTTATATTTTTTACTCTAAAGGAGCTAAATACTGACTAAGCTTACTTGGGAAGATTAGAAAAGATAGAAAGTGATAAGAAAGATGGTCACACTGAGAAATGTTGAAAAGTTTAGGGAATAATGATGAAAAGAAAAACCCCATGATCCTTTTGGAAATACTTGCATAAGTATGTCATTTCAGGGCAGCTCCCTTCCACATATGTAAGTTTTTCTGGAAAATGTGTTCATTTCTGCACTGTCAGGATGGGATCATTTTGTACCATTTACAGCATGAACAAACCCTGAGGGTAGGGAAGACCTAATTTTTCACTTTCTGATTTAGTTACTTGGCTAACACAAGCTGAACACTAACTGTAATAAAACTTGAATCGACTAGCATATTCTGAGACAATTAAAGATTAAGAAACATAAATTAAAAGAATGAGATTCTATTCAGATCATGATGTTTGCTGTCTTACATATATTTAGACACTTTTGTCCCAAGAAAAACAGACTCTTAAATCCTGTGGACTATTGCATTTTGTTTTTTTGTTACTTTTATTTTTACAATTGCAACAGAAACAATGACTCTTTGGCTAGATACCCAACTGAGTACTTTGGACCTATCATACCAGATTTCTCTTTAAATCATTTAAGACATGAACAAAGACTGGAGTCACTGTATACACTTTTCCTTAGTAGTTTCACAACTTTTTATCCCATTTATTCATTGGAAATAGCAAAAAAAAAATACATCTGTATTAAAAAATTAAGCCTGAAATGGATCACAAGAAAAACACAGAATAATGCCTCAAATAAATACATACCAGAGAATAAAACTGAGCTAAATATAAGTATAAATAGAACTAATGCCATGTTTAAAAATATTTATGGTGGCTACATTCAAAATAATATATGTGAGTTAAAAGCATATATTCTGGAAGATTTCGGAGAGCACTTGTGCTCATGGGCAGACACACACACATGTAATTAAAACAACAAAAATGAATAGTAAATTATAGAAATAGTCTCAAATTTTATTGTTATTGTTTTGTTTTTGTTCTTTGAGATAGGGTTTATGTCCTATAATTCATGGTTTTACCTAATTTTCTATTTTCTATGACAAATACTTGTTTCATACTAATAAAATGAAAACATGTAGCTATTTTGTAGTTTATTAAACAAGAATTCTTAGACTGCCAAGATGGTTCAGTTAATAACGATACTTGCTGAACAAATCAGGTACCTGGATTCAATTCTTGGATCCAATGGTGGAATGAGAAAACTAACTCCTAGGGGTTGTCCTCTAGCATCTAGATACATGCTGTGGCATGTGTGTACCAACAGTCATATACAGGTATCGCATACATACACATTCACAAATAAATAGACAAGTAGACCTTCCTTAAGCACCCTGTATGCAGGAATGCATCAGGAGTTAACATGTTAGATTGTATCACAAGGTGGCTAAAGCTGTAAGTAACAGGTAACTACTTAAACTTTAAAGTACAAAACACTTTCTGAGACTATCTTAACTGTAAGAGACTCTTTCCTCTTCCATACTTAATCTAATACTTTGCTTTCATCTATTCAAATTAACCTTTACATGCCAAGTGTTTTCTTATAAGTTTTTGAGAAAACAATTTTTTCTTGAATAGTGTTCCAAAATAAGCAGTTCAAATAAGATATGCTTTGGGAAAATGTTAATAAACTTGCCTCTGGCAAATGTTTTGAGTTTCCTTGTATTTCCTTTACTTGGCAGTGATTCATTTTGTGTTTAAATAATGAAGAAAAATGGCATAAGACTTTATAAGAGGATACTATTATTACACTGACAATTTTGTATAAAACTTCTATTTAATGTTGAGGGTTGGGAGACCTTTAATTGAAACAGTGGATTAAAATTTTAAAAAAATCCTTAAGGCATGAATATTAACTAGAATCTGAACATCTCAAAGTCCCTTAGCTCTATCTTCTTTGCTCCTTCAGCTATTTGTTGGACAACAGAGAAAAGTTATCACAAAAACCCTAAACCCTCTCCCCATGGTGCTTATCGTCTTGCAAGCAACATAACATAGTGACTGTGAGAAAACAAGTCAAAGGTCATAATAAATGAGCACAAGTATGCAAAGAAGGAGATGTCGGAATGTGGGTGGCCCATATTTTGGCAGTGGTCTGTGTTTGGCCCATATCTTGGCAGTGGTCTGTGTTTAAAATATTAAGATTCCTTTGCTTCAAACTCTTCCTCTAAGTTCTAGGTTATTGGTTAGAAAACAAAAGTGAGAGCTGCTATCGTTTTTCTTTTTAGCTAAAGAGAAGAAAAGTTAACTACCCCTGTGTAGTTCTGGAGACAATAACAAATAACCCAGCAAAGTGGTGGGTGTGCTTGGCATCTGGGTGTTGAATTGCCATCATTACTGGTGTTTTCTCTCTATTTTACATGCTACCCTATCTTCTTAACAACAGCTAGGAAGAATGTTGCTAACTAGGGTGACTGCGGCCATTGATGATTTGGTGAGAATCCAAAATCCACAACCCCTAGGAATTTTCCTGGATCCTCTACTAGGAGAAACATTGCAAGCAACTTACAGCACACTAAATCAGCAAGGCTGGCCTGGAAAACCATTTATGTAATTTCTCTGCTTTTGTTTTAGGGAATCTTCCAAGACAATTGTCTAGAGATTCAGATATAATTTGAGCAGGGTATGCTAACGTGGCTTCAACAATGATCTTACTTTTCTTGTAATTGTGTACTTGCTAGTCATTTTTTCCAGTGATGTGTCATGCTGTCCCAATTGGCTGTCTGGCTGTTCTTTGCTCTGGTGTTTGCTATAGCAAAAAAGTGGAGATATAAAATTACCTTCTTTGACTTAGTGTTAGTTTTAGTGAAATCTCTCCAGATGTATCTTCTCTTATTTCCCTCTAAATCAAATGGTTTGTTGAAGGATCCATCAGGTTTTTATCTTATTTTGAGGGGGGGATAATAACCCAGTTGATATTCTAAAATAATCTTACATTAGCTATGAATTTCTTCCTAGTTAGTCATCATAATAAATAACTAACAAGCAATCTGTTGTTTCTCCTTCCACATTTCATCATAAAAGGATGTTGTATATCATCACTTTAGACTGCAAAACAGTGTTCACTAGGAAAATCTCACTCAATCCTTCTCAACTTGAGCATATATTTAATCCAACTGCTAAGTTTTTATTTTTGACCTACCCTTCACAACCACACTCAAATTAGCATTTTCGTCAGGATTGTATCAGCTGGACTCTTGGCAGTCATTAGGGTGACACAACCCTGATGCTGAATGTAGGTCAGTGTGCATGTCCCTTAGATGCTAACCTTCCCACTAACAACCAAAAATATGGCCTGGAACTCCTACAAACATGGAAACCATCACTAGAACACTATTAGCAGCCTTGCATATATACTTGGGATACTCAAATAGACAGACTGACATTTTCACAGTTTTCTTTGGGATTTCAGACAAGAAATCAATTCAGAAAAGAAAGATTTAAACATTTGTAATGCATTACATGTAGAGTGTCCACATTTGTGTGATGATAAGGTATTTCAGTACTTTGATAGTTCCTGGGAAGGGCTGTTTTGTTTTGTTTTTCCCTTTTAAAATGTTAAATCTAAAGGAAATTAGGTCAAGAGTAGTGAAAAGAATTTGAACAAAAGTCGTAAAACTTATCAGTGAATCACTGTATTCTCGGAGTATTCTTTGGTATGCCTCATTTAACTTTTACTCTCAAAATAGATTTTAAAATAGACACATTTTGTGTTTAATAATTAATCAACCTTGAAGTTAAGAAAAACTATGTGATATGTGGGTAAATTATCAGTTTTATTTTCATTTTTTATATCCTGTCTTTTAAGTGGTCCTTTATTTGTGCTTGTGAACACAAGCTTGATATCTTTGAATTTGTTTGTGAACAAGCCCTATATATTTTTCCTATTTTAGAAGTAAACTCATAACATCTGGAAGTTTTTAAGAAATCCATTATAAATCCAAAGACTTCCAATGCTGGAAAGAGTGATCACTTTTTCAGAGTTATGAAAATCCTTAGAATAATTAACTTATTGAAAAACTACAAGAACTCTAAAGGAAGGGCACAAAAAGAA